GTGTAGGTGTGGGTGGGTGGGTGGGTGGGTGGGTGGGTGTGTTTGGGGGGGCGTAGGGGTCGACGTCACATTCCAAACATGGATCCGGGAATAAAGGTATGAAAGGGAATACGAGGGCAGAGCAGGTGAGCTTTGCAGGAAGGGCGACGGACGCGGCATCTGGTTCACGCCGGCTGCTTGGGTCGGGGCTAAGAGGGCCGTTGGCGGCCACGCAAGGCGCGCGACGCGACGCAATCAGGTGTCAAAATCAGCTGCCCGCCGTGTTTCTAGGCTTCAGGGTGTCACTGGGGATGAGGGTTTTGAGCATGTTGCAGCGATGCATTCTGTTAGACCTCACCTGTCGAGCCTGTCCAGCGTGAGTTCGTCGTTGAAGAGGCGCGCAAACTTCACCAGCTCCCCCGGCTCAACCCGCGACCCCGCGCGGACCTGAACTCGGGTGGATTTGTTTGGGGGAATGCTTCATGACAGAGGCTTCAGACGTGCGATAGTAGGTGGCTCGGAGCGGCTGCGGCAGCGGTGTGTTGGAAAGGCAGGCATCGCTTTCTGCCACCCAGCCACGCAACCCAATCTAGATAACAGGCCAGCAGAGAAATTACAGTGTGCAGTCCAGTCTGGCCCAATCTGGCCCAGTCCAGCCCAGTCCAGCCCAGTCCGGCGCGCCTTGTTGATGAACTGGTAGAGCTCGTTGGCGCTGGCGCTGACCTCCCCAGTCCTCTTGGCCTTGATGTCCCGCGCCATCTCAGCCATGGTGTCCTGGGTATCGGGAGGGCCCGAGCTTTTGGTAATGGGCAAACACTTCATCGGCCCGAGGCCGCATGCTACGCCCTAAGGGAGGCGCCTGGCCGGGCGCCGGGGTAGAGATTGCCCTGATGGGGGTAAGGTTTGCTGGGCTGGGCCGCGGGGTGGGGGGGGGGGAGAGGCTCACACCTGCAGGAAGCGCGCAACCTCAAGCTTCACCACCAGCCGCTTCTTCACATCCTCCTCCTGGCGGTTGGCGGTTGACAGTTGGGAGGCGGTTGTGAGGGCGGTTGGCGGGTGGGGGATGGTTGGCCGTGGTGGGGCCGGTTGGCGGATGTAGGAGCGGTTGGCGGTTGTGGGGGCGAATGGCAGCTGTTGGGGCGGATGGTGGTCGCGGGGCTGGTTGGCGGTTGTGGGGGGCGGTTGGCAGTGGGCGCGTTGCAATGGCGTGGCAATCGCAGTCTGCAGGCGGTCGGAAGGCGGCGGCAAGATGGCGTATGCCATGGCAAAGTGTTTGGGAGCAGAGCCCACGCAGGCAGGCACTGCCTTCAACGCCGATGCAGCAACAAAACGCGGTACGTCACTGCTGTGGTGTGGGCGTAAGGGGGCGTGCATTTGCGACACGCGCGACATGATGTGCGAGTGTCGCAATTCGCCTTTGCCCCCCCCCCCCCACCTTCTTCATCTTGTCCTCGAATGTGGAGGGCAGCATGTTGGGGAAGATCTTGAGCAGCACGGGCAGCGCCAGCTCCATGAAGGGCACCAGCTGCGGCGGGGGGTCGGGGAGGACGAGAGTGGAGGGTGGGATGAGGCGCGGTAGGGGGTGCGCCTTGGCGTGTGCATAAAGCGCTCGCGATTTGCGGGATCACGGGAGGTGAAAAGAGTCAGATGGCAAGGGGCGGGCAGGGGAAGATGTGATGCCCAAGCTGAGTGAGTGTCCTCTTGCACGCGACACGCGCATACGCACACACACACACGCGCGCGCGCGCACGCACGCGCACACACCACGCACAGACACCCAAACCCTCACACACATGCAAACGCGCCCGAATCCACATGCACGCCTTTCATCACACCCCTCCCACAGGTGCGCCGACTCTCGTACCTCCGACCCCACCCCTCCCCACCCCACCCGGCCACACACAACCGACTAATCCTCCTCCAAAAACAGCACTCCACCCACCAGGATGACGATCATGGGCACCAGCCGCACAATGTCCGCCGTCGTGCGCGTCAGCTGGCGCCGCTCGCGCCTGCGTGGTGGCAGCGCAGGTGCGCAAGGGGCGCACGCTTCGGTTCGTTTCTTGCGCCGGAGGGTCCCACCACACGGCGCTCTGCGCAGCCCCGAGACGCCGCCAGCTGCGAGCAGGCTGGAACACAAGAACCTCGGGAGTCTCCCCGGCCCTCCCTCACGGCGGCGCGCCTGGTGGCGCGATCATGACCTCGGACGCCACGCCGCACCCACCTCGTGAGCGTGTTGCCCCTCATGGCTTTGAAGGCCAGCCCTGACGCGATGCGGACGTCCGTGGCCAGCAGCTTGGTGCCCACCTGGCGGGCCGGCGGGCGAGTTCGTGCGGTTGAATGGGAGTGCAGCGATGGCGGGCCCGGCTGGCTGCGGCTCACTCGCGGCTGCGGCGCGCGCTGCCGCGCTGCGACGGTGACGAGATCGCAGCTGCTGATTTTGAACGCCGCACGTGGCGGCTGCTGCCGTAACGAAAGCCTCTCAGCCGCCACGTGCAGCAAGCTCGGCCCCGGTACCGCCCAGCTGGCCCCAAGCTGCCCCCAGCTTCCCCAGCTGCCCCCCAGCGCCCCCAGCTTCGCCAACGACTACGCCCCCAACAAAGCCGCAGCTTAAATGCAGAGAAAAGAAAAAAGCCGCCGACCCACCCAGTAGTGGTGTGCCTCATGCTTCACGGTCTTCTTCACGCCCGCCCAGTCCGCCGCCCACTGCTCCCGCGACTTGAGCCGCAGCGCCCACAGCGCCGCCGGCACGCCCACCGTCCACCGCACGACCGTGATGGTCGCGTTGACGACTGCTGACATGAGGTCCTTGGTTCGCTGCCAAGCAGTGCGGTACGTCGAGGGCGGGCGGCGGCGGGAGGTGCGGACCTGCGGCGGGCCAGGGATTGCGGTCGCCCGGTTGGAGGTAGGCGGGGGAAGGGATGACGCGCTGAGGTCGAGGAGAGTGCCGCGCGACCCGTTCGGCGCATGAAATGCCGGGCAAGGATGGTTAGGGCGGCCTTTGAGGGGGAGGAGGCCGGCCCCGTGGGAGCCGGAATCGCATTCCGCATGCGCGTGTGTGCCGCCGACGTAGCTGCACACGCGGGCGACGCGGACACGACGCGGACGCGGCCGCTGATGCGGCTGGCAAGTGTGTGCTCTAGCACCTCTATGCGGCTGCAATGCTGGCATAAGTCATGTGAGCGCATCGATGTGCGCGTGCGTGCAAACAGTGTGAAGGTGTACACATGCATGTTAATACATGTGTCTGCGTGGTGCGTGCTTGTATGGGTCTGTGGATGTGTGCGCATGTGTTGTTGCGTGTGTTGATGTGCACAAACGCGTGTGTGTGCATGTGATCCCCTGCTGCGCCGCTAGATGATAGAGCTGATAAAAGAAGCTGATTCCCCCAAGACGAGTTAATGGAAGCCCAGCCCCTGACACGGGAGGTGCGCAGCTGCAACCACGGCCGCCCGAGCCACGCCGCCGCGAAGCTCGTGGGGCCCCCGCTTCTCCCGCCAGGCCGCCACACACCACTAGTCCGCACGCACACCGACGCCCAACCCTGGCTGCAGCCCCCACCTCCCAACCCCACCCCCCCTTCCCCAGCCCCCCAACTGCCGAAACCCTCCTGTCCGCCATCCCACCAGCCGCGCAAATATATACACCCCACTCCTCAAAATTATTTCTCAATATGTATATTCCACATAAGTCCCACCTCGCGATACTTCTCTATTGCCTCGTCGCACTCCTGCGCGTCTGGCAGCGCCTTTGTCGCCGCATCATCCTTCCTCTCACTCGGCACTTGCAGCGCCCTGAGCGCGACGCTCCACGGCGCGAGCGCCCCCGCGCCGCCGCCGAGCGCCGCCGCGCGCGGCGGGGGCGCGAAGAAGGGGAGCGGGACGGCGCCGGCGCCGGCGTGGCGGCGGGGGAGGAGTGGCGGCAGCTGCGTCGCCGCGGCGTGCAGGGAGAGCGCGTGCAGGCCGATGGGCGTCGCCTCCGGCAGGATCGGGCC